TGGTTCATAACAGTGAGATTAATGATGATAATGATGTAGTATTAAAGAATAATAATATGTAGAGGTTTGGTAATTAGAGATAAGCCTTAGATGATTAATTAATGATATGCATTATCATGTTGTAGGCCTATGGCCAATGTTGAGGGACTGTCGATCTGCCATTGTATTGTTGTTATGGCTGAGTTGCTGTGAATTATGTTGATGAATTATGTTGATAAATTATATTGATGAATTATGTTGATGAATGATGTTGATGAATGATGTTGGTGAATTACTTTGAGATGCCTTTAATAATTGGCAGTTATTAAGATGTAGGCTTTCTGGCCAACGATGATGTTGTGTTGAGATGTTGTTTATCGTGGTTGTTGTTACTACATTCATGATTGTGCTGTATATATTGCATATCAAGATAGAGCTGATGCTCGTTAAGATGGCCTGTATTGGAGAATATTAAGATGAAGGCTTATGCCTTGTTGATGCCTCTATTTATTGGCAATTATTTGAGATAGGAGTTCTGCTCCAATGGTACCACATGCATCTGCGTAGTATTGAGTCACATGATATGATTGCATAAAGAAGTTATGTATTGATGCGGTAAATGTGTATATTGTTGGTATTCTGTTGCGATTATTGTTGCTTATGAGATGTGAAATGATGTTATTATATGAGCTGATCTAACATATTATTTATCATACGTTTTATTATATTATTAGATATATCACCCTTCTGTTTGAATGTTACCCTTACGTTGGTAACGTGCAGGTAATCCATAGTGAAGGCAGTATACTTTCGGTAGTTCGAGTCAGTGTCATTGCTCTGACACGTAACACTCGGGGGGATGAACGCTTATTGCTTTTAATTATTGATTATTTCAGTTGTTGAACTTTAATTTGATTGTTGCTAAGTATGTGTCACTTTGAAGTTGCTGTAATTGTTGGACAAAAATGTTATTATGATTCCGCTGCTTAGTTGTTCAAGTTGTTGAATTAAGAGATTAAATTATTCTGTTGTTGGTTCATCCGAAGTTTTAAAGTGTTATGTATCCACGTTGAATGCAATGTGTCTTTAAGTTGAATTTGTGGCATCCTGATTCATTTGTATGAATTTTAAAACTCTGATTTACATTCATAATTGTCGGGTAGAATTGGGGTGTTACAATCTTCATCTTCAATTTCTTCATTTAACTTTTTTCTTCATCTTCAATTTCTTCACTTTTTTTAGTTCTTCTTCCAAAACTGAAGTCAAAGTAGAATAACAACACCAACATATTCAATAACACCAAATCATCATCATCTTTGTCATCCACCAACACCAAATTTTTGCTTCTAAAAAATTGGTTTACTTTTGAGAAAGATTCAGATCTAAAATTGTTATTTGATATTCATAGATACGTGTTTTGAGATATTAGTTTTTTTCTTCTAAATATGAGTTATACTAAATCAAATATTTGAGATGAACAAGTACTAAATTCATTGACTATAACACGACAAAGCAAAATCGAGCAGCATCTGAGATTAATCTCTTTTTTTCTTTCAGATTTGTTGAACCTGATTGTTTTCGACTCTCTTTGGACTTGTTTTTTATATTTGGTCGCCAAGTTTTGAGATTTTTCTGTTTGAGATTTTTCGTTGTTCGTGTTGATTTTAGATTTAGGAATTTTGTGGTGGTTCTCTAACTTTTTTTCCAAATTTTGTGGTGGTTCTGTAATTCCTATTGGTGATAGCTCAATCCTTTTGGTGTGTTTCAATTCTTTTAGCGTAGTGAAAATGATTCTTCTTGCTAGAAACTTAACTTCTTCTTGCAATTTTTTTTTTAAATTTTTTTGGGGCTTAGGGATTTTGTTTGAGATTTTTTTTGTGGATTTAGTGATTTTTTCAGATTCAAAACACATCCGATTTTTCAAGATGAATATCAAATAAGAAATAATTATTCAGATTAATTAATATATATTATTTAATATATATTTTTTAAATGATTAATAATTAAAATTAAATAAAAAGTTATTAATAGATAATCAATCATTCATCACAACCGTCTGAACTAAATAATAATATATCAATGGCTAAAAATGCAACTTCACCGGTACTACTTCAATTTTCTTTTTCAAAAACATTTTATTTTTCTCTTTTTCCTCAACTTTTGGTTTTGACATACCCTTGCTTTTACATGCCCTCTTATCCTTGAGATAAGGTAGTGGGCATTATTTTTCTTTTAAATTGGCCAAGGGTTGTATCATTTGGAAAGAATAAATTTTTCATTATAAAGTTCAAAGGGGTTTGTCTAAGGATTCACACCTTCACAAGATAAGCTTTTTAGGTTAAGTAGTTTTTCACTCAATAGCAAACAATGACTTGATCATATCAACGACTTTTAAACATATCAAGTAATAGCAAAGTTGATGCAAAGTCTACATGGTTAGCATGCATGTCTACTTTTAGTATTTAAGTAAAACACAAGGTTGCACACATCTAACTTGGGTAGGCTTATGATTCTTGACTTATGTCAAAATATTTTCTTTAGACAGTAGAAAAATCAAACTTTGAATGAAGCGAATAATTCATAATAATATTATATTTCACAGGTAGTCATACTTTAGTCATGAATGAAGAGTATTTAGAGAGACTAAAAACTTTTTAATGTCATTTGTTCTTTGACCTTTTGTTGTCAACCTATCGTTTGTGGTTTCATACATTTTGACTGTTCAGACCATCATCTAAATCATCTGCAGACAAACTTCCTTTGGCAATACTTTTCAAAAATTGATACTTAATCATGAAAACAATTTAATTTAAATAGGTATAGGTTATTAGCTTTGATAAAATTTGCATTTCACCCCTGTAGAAAACTTTTTCCTGTCCTCAAACAATAAAATATTGAGTAGAATCTGGATAACCTCGCCTAACCTAAGGATTCTCGCTTAGCCAACTTTGTGCATTAATATGCGCTAAGCACACTATGTGGCTCACCTAGCAAGCCTTCTCCTACAATAATAATACATATTTTTTCTTGTTCAATTTCCTCGTTATATTCACATCAAATTTCAGGATAGACAGTCAATCAATATCCAAATATTCATAAAATGTTGGAGGCTTGAGTGTGCTCACATGCTTAGTACAAAATGACCAACACACCCAAGTTCATTGTGCAAGAACAATGTTAGAATTTGTAGTACATAAACAACATCATAATTCAATAGAAATTGTTCAAAAAATATTGAAATGAAAATGATAAAAATTGTAAAAAAAAAACTTCAAAATGATTTCGTTAATGTTGCATCAGTCAACCACTCTCACTGAATGTCTCATCATCATATTCTCCTTGACCACCTTCCTTTTTTTCTTCATCATCTTCTGCTTGGGCATGTGCTCCCGCTTCTACATTTTCACTAGCATCACCATTTCCCCACTCATAATAAAATATTCTATTAGTAGGCCATTTCAAATAGTTGATGAACTCGTCCTGAGTGGGTATTGGCTCAAATGGAGCTTGTGGCTCCTACATCCGTAATTGCAACATGTTCAGAGAATCATTAAGAGATAACATACCTTTGTGGTTTATCTCAATGACATTTCAACCATAGGAGAAACAAGCTCTCATAGCAAGATCCATGTTATCAAAGCTCACATCTCCATGTCGAGGCTCAAAGGTGTAACATAAGGCTCTGGTGGTGGTGGTGGAGGCACTCTACGTCCTATGCAGTATATTGCAGTAAAAGTATCATCCAGTTTAGACATCTGTCAGACACGATGATGATTTGGAATGTCTACACCATAATTTTTGCACAGTCACATGATCAATCCAAGGAAGCCAATGTCATATTTCTTTGTAGAATCCACAATCTCCCAGATTTTGTTGGAGATTACCCTTGCAATGTCCACCTGATTCCCTTTCACTATATACCATATCAGTTCTGCAGTCTTTAGGATAGCAGATGAGGTGTAGCTCACATTTGTAACATTATATAAGAGGAAGGTTGTTCATATCTGAGCTTTGATGGTTAGGTCAGATCCATTGATAAACTTTTCTTTGTTTTTGGATATCAGCGCAATTTGCATGAAGCGTGCCCATGTATGATAGTTTTCCTCATCAAGTGGTAGTGAAACGAGAACAAGAGCATGGTTCTCATGTGGATGTTGGAAGTATGGATTTGTAGAATTTATAGAAAAATAAGTGAAGCTCTGGTGCGCCATTAAAAGAGAAAAATGAGCTAGAATGCGATATCAAAGAAGAAAATGCATAATGTAAGAATTTTTCTCAAGAAGTTGCATAAGACAAAAGGAAATCACATAAAGAAGGTAACAATGTTTGCTAGAGCTTGTTAAACTCTGATATTATGTTGATGATAAAAATCTCCAATGAAATTGATGATGAATATAAAAAATTAAAGAAAAAGAATTGTGTGAAAGTGAATAAAGTTAAATGTTTCATTGATGGTTGCAGCTTAAAGTTGTTGAATATATACAAACAAGTAGCTGATAAAGTTAGTTGCATAACTAACCAACAAATTATTCTTATATGCTTTACATTCTAGTTATACAAAAAATACTTAGAATAGCTTAAGGAACAAGTCTTACCTAATCATAAACATATGGGCACACACTCAAAAGCAAAATAAATAATTAATTATTTTTGATTATTTTTGAGTTAATTAAAAAAATAAAAAGTAAAACTAATATTATGTGATTGTGCCTAAGACATTTTTATTTAGGTTGTGACCATAATAATCCTAGCTTAAGCTAATAATATATTTATTTTTATTAGACTGCTGCATACTTCTGATTTTCTAGTAAGTACAATTTAGATGATACAATTTTTTAGAGACATTTGATATTGGTATGCTTAACACAAATTTAACAATGACTCATAATTTAGATTTTTTTAAAGCAAAATAATATAAAAACTAAAAACTTTTCGATTGCAAAAGCGATCATACGGTGCGTTTGGAAGCATGGACATTTAAGTCATTACAGCTTATCTGAATAAGCACGTTTTCAATCTATATGAAGAACAACAACAACACAGGTGAAAGAATTTCTGTTTTGACATCACACTTCACTCATTCAACTTCAATGGCTTCTGAGAAAGAAGCTGCCCTTGCTGCCATTCCCCCCGACTCCGATTCTCCCACCATGTATGCTCCAATCTTCTGTTTTTTGTTGTTTCCGTTTTCATGGGTATTTCAATTTCTCATAAAGTTCCGATTATTTGGGGTTTTTGTTTGTAGATACAGAAACCCTAAAAAGGTTATATTTTTATGCAATTAGGGTTATTGGGTACTGGATTTTTTTAGCATTTTTGTTTACGATTCAGTTGATCTTAATATTGGGAAAAATGAATTTTTTGAAATTGTGTGCTTGATTGATAGGACCCACTTTTGAAAACTGGTTGTTTGTTTGATTTTACTTGGATCTACATTTGATGGGATTTTGATGTGGTGATGACATACACCCGACTTTGTTCGAGTCATGATTCTTGATATTATGGAGGATTGCGGTCAAATGTGGCCTCAAATGTAGTTGCAATGCGGTTTTGGCAATGCTAAAACCGCTATGTTGTGGCCAAGATTGAATACCTTTGTCTAGAACCCTAGGTTTTGGCTCCTTGTGTTGGATGTAGAGGAAGATTTTTTTTTTTTTTTGAGATCTTTGAAGTGTCTATCATTATTATGCTGAATGTTATTATATTACTGTGATTTACAGATTTGACAAGATCATCAACAAAGAGATTCCTTCTACTGTTGTTTATGAGGATGATAAGGTACTTCATGATGTGTAATTACAAATAGTGGATGCTATATTTGGTGTTTCTTGAAGAACATAACTTAACTATCCACTGTGAAAACATTACAAATATAGATCTCTATAGCACCGGCATCTTTGAAAAAAGGTGTGTCAGTGTATGTGTCAGAGTCGGAGTCAGACACCGGCACTGACACGACACCGACATTTGTGTTTACGTTTAATTTATTCTTTTTTTTTTCAAATTATTACTGGTGCCGACATGTCGGTGTCGTGTCCGGTGTTCGTGTCTGTATCCGTGCTTCATAGATATAGATTTTGTTGAAATTCCATTGTTTGTATTGTTATGTGTGGATGCTATTCATCTCCCGTTTTTTCAGTTTCAATGGAAGTTCTTGATCCACACATGCACACCACACATGCACACGCATATGCCCGTTACGCATATGCCCGTTTCTTTACTGTCTAGAGTCTAGAAATTTTCACGGGTAAACATGCAAACTGTTCAAAAGATTTTCAAGTGTGTAGCCACATTGAAATTGTGATATATTGAAATTATGCTTCACTTTAAATTTATTCAAATTCTTGTTCATTTTAAAGACAAGTTCACTTTGAAGAAGCCTCACCTTAGCTTACTTTATGGCGTAAAATGTTGCGAAAATAACTGTGTTTTATAGACCTGATTCTTCAGAATAATTTATATATATATACTCTATATTGATTTTCCCTTATTTTTTAAGGTGCTCGCCTTTAGGGACATAAATCCTCAAGCTCCTGTGCACATTTTAATCATTCCTAAAGTCAGAGATGGCTTGACTGGTATCTCCAAGGTAAATTTTAGCCACTCTTACGGTGTTCGGACATATTATGCTGTACAAATTTTCATTTGAAAAACAAAAAATTGTTATTGAAGTTTTGATGTAGATTTCTCCTTTCTTGTATGCATATGAGGAAAATGATCTATTTCATTTAGTATCATTTTGTCAAAACCATGAAAGTTGTTTCGAATAATAAAAGATTCTTCCTCTCGTCTCATCCTGCAATAATATTGATGGTTTTTGAACTTTGAAGTCTTGTTGTCCTTTTTGAAGTTCTCGTCCGAGTAGTTACTTTCATAGGAATCAGTTATACTCGAAGAACATGCTTTTGAAATTTATATTGAATATGTGAATGTTATATTCTCAAGCTCGTGCGATGTTTCTTCAGGCTGAGGAGAGGCACTTCGATATTCTTGGCCGACTTCTCTACACTGCAAAGCTGGTTGCGAAGCAAGAAGGTCTTGCCGAAGGCTACCGGGTTGTAATTAATGACGGGCCACAAGGATGTAAGTGTTATTATCCATACAAGAATTTGAACTTTGATGAATAGCATCACATTTTTTGAGTTGTTGATTCTTGATTTTGATTTTAACAGGCCAATCGGTTTACCACATTCATGTGCACGTTATTGGTGGTCGTCAGTTAAACTGGCCTCCTGGCTAAAATGTAGGAAACGATATGCGGTGAGCCGTCGGGAATTCGTAGGGCAATAATACTCCGGTGGTTGTGCTGTGTTTCAACAATGGATTAAGTAACTAATAATTTGATACATGATATGTTATTGAATGTGTTTAATCTGTTGAATTTAGGTTAAAAGTAAGTTTTGACTGACTTTGATTGCTGTTGGTTGGTTGTTAAAGGGCTCATTTGTTATGGATTATTAAAGCAACTTCTTATTTGAAATAACTACTAAGATTGATTTAGTGCTTTGCGCCGGAGTGGAAGTCAATACCTACTAAGATTAATTTATTCGGAGTTCCAATTTCTTGGTGGGAGGGAAGCTAAGTGTTTTCATGTGAGTCATTGACTCATAGTCCAAATATGTTGCCTAATAAATGAGAGGGCACACCAAGTTACTAAAAAGAATAAAGTATTAATTGATGTTGTTTCTTTGGTAAGTGTTTGTTGAGCAATCCTTTAGAAAAAAGTAAAAAAATAAAATAAAAGATGCCTCTGGTTATTGTGTACAATTAATATGATTATTGTTTATTAAAAGAAAAGAGATAGAGTGTGCACATAGGAATGATTAGGAGCATCTTTAATAAGGTGAATTATAAGAAATTGAATTGAGTTAATTAAATTAGTTTTTGTAGAATTAAATCATCACGTAGGATTTAAATAATTTTTAGTTAATATAATTTATTTTACTCTAATGGTAATTGTTTATAAATAATTCAAATTTGATCTCACATTTATATATATTTATTTGTAATTAATTTTAATTCAAATTTAATATTAATTTAACTATTTTAATTAAAATGCATAAAAATATTAATTATTAAAGTTGTACAAAATCATTTGAATAAATTTTTTAGGAGCAATGTCTTTATTATTTGGCTTTTTCATGTACTCACCGCCAAATATTGCGCAAATGGTCATTACAAATATGTCTAGGCACTCCAATGACGTGCTTTCACTGATGCGAACGTAGTTATCCATACTATCTGTGGGTGATCCATATGTTAAATACGATGCGAACGTAGTTATCCATACTATCTGTGGGTGATCCATATGTTAAATACGAAGAACAAATGTGCATTTCTGCAATGGTGAAAATCATGTTCTACCAACTACATCACATGATTGCCAAAGACTTCAACGATGCGGGAACACATGTTTTTTCATACAAAACATTTGTCGAAATTAAGCCTCAGTGTATACAGAATTTTTAGAGAAATAGTCGTTAAATAATCGATTATGTCTTTCTTCACGATTTCGATCTATCATTGCTCTCATTTTTCTACGCCTACTTGTATTGTTGGCTTGTTGCGCTATGCCTCTCGTAATAACCTTATCACCTCCTCCTCAGTATTGTCGTTGAGGCAGTCATCTATTACTTCATTCTAAATTGTATTCCATTCAGAATTTGGATCCATAATAATTATGAAAATAAAATGTGAGAAGACCTGAAGTATAAGAGAAAGAGATAACATGTGCGACATATATAGACTAGTTTTTGTAACAACTAGTTTTGTAACTACTAGTTTTATACATATACAAATTTAATAATTATACATATTCAAACTTAAGAAAACAAACTATTATAGATACTCAAACTTAATAATTATACATATTCAAACTTAAGTAAACAAATTTAGTAAAAGGAGGAATAAAAATGACAAACTTAAGAAAACAAACTATTATAGATACTCAAACTTAATAACAATACACTTAACTCCTCTTGTAGTGTTTCTCCTTGATAGTTTCATAAATTTATTTATGTTCTCGACATTGCTCATCATTAATCAATGATTTATCGTTCATGAGAATTTCATACAATGTTGATATACTCTCTGCCAACTTTGCTTCAGCTACTTTACTTATGACAACTAGTGTCTTTTTCGAAATATTTTTTATGGTAGTTGTTAGGTTTTGTTTTGTTGTATGCATTTTGTTAAAACAAGTATTTCAACAAAATGTTGGACAAGATGTCCTGACATGTTGGTACGACATCATAGTTTGATTTGGTTTCATATTTAGAAGATTTATTTCAGATTTTCAGAAGTTTTGATTCTCATATTCCGCGGTTCAAGATAAGTATGTGAAGATTTGATTTTCTGAAGATTTGTTTCAGCATGAGATATTTGAAGATTTATTTCTTAAGATTTGATGTTAAGACATTTAAGGAAACATTATATTTTTGTACCAAAATACTATGAAGAATATTATGTAGAAGATTGTACTGTAGATGTCAAAACATTTAAGTAAACATTAGATTTTGTTCCAGAATATTCTGCCTTGTTGTTGTATCCAAGATTGGATGTCAAAAAATTTAGGGAAACATTATATTATTTCCTTGATTGTGTGAAGAATATTTGATTTGATTTGCTATTTGTTTAGCCCATTAATTCACAAAGCTCATGCCGATTTCAAGATATTTAAAGGAAGTCTCTAAACCTAAAGAAGGCATGAAGCTGCATGTGTAAAAGTGTCAATTAGGGTTTTATCTGTTCATTGTGAGCCACTTTTGTATCTCTTTGATGCTACAAGTGGACAATTAGTTGAGTTGTAATTGTGAATCACTCATAAGCTTTTAAACAGTAGTTGATTATATTTATCGGAGCGTGTCTCCTTTTTTATTGTCTTGTGTTTTATCATTGGTTGTATGATTGAGGAAAAGTGAGAGGGTCTCATATCTAGGAGAGTCTTAGATAGAAACACCACATGTATTAATTAGGTGCAACGTTTGTAAAACTAGAGGTTGTTTAGAACTTCAAATTAATATTGTTATAGTGGATTTCCTTTCTGACTTGGATGCCCCCAGATGTAGGTGACGTTGCACCGAACTGGGTTAACAATTGAACTATGTTATTTTCTTCCTGCAATTTTCTTTACATTATTAATGTTTACTTATGTTGTTACGATGTCATAACATTGCATTTGAAATTCTGGAAGTCCTGACATCGTATACGACATTTGTCTTGTTGTTTCAAAATTTCAATTGGCATCAGAGCAGACTCGCTGTTCTATTTTTGGGTGAGCTCTAGGGAAGATATTTTCTGATACTATGGAAGGAGGATTTGTTAACATACCACCTATTTTATATGGCACCAACTATGGTTATTGGAAGGCGCGCATGGTGGCTTTTCTAAAATCTTTGGATAGTAAAACATGGAAAGCAGTTATGAAAGGTTGAGAACACCCTGTGATGAATGGTACAACAGAATTGAAGCCAGAAGAGGACTGGTCTAAGGTAAAATATGAAATTTCTCTTGGAAACTCCAAAGCTTTGAACGCATTATTCGGTGGGGTTGAAAAAAATATATTCAGGTTAATAAATACATGTACTGTGGCCAAAGATGCATGAGAAATTCTCAGAACCACTCATAAAAGCACATCAAAAGTAAAAATGTCACGACTTCAACTTATCACCACCAAATTTGAGAATCTCTTGATTAAGGATGATGAGTGTATTCATGACTTTCATATGAATAATTTTGATATTGCCAATTCATCTAGTGCTTTGGGAGAAAAGAAGTCAGAGGAGAAACTTGTTAGAAAAATCATCATGTCATTGCCTAAGAAGTTTGACATGAAGGTCACAACTATTGAAGAGCCCTCAAGTGACTCAGAGTATGATATCGAACAAATGTTCAAGAAATTATGCCTTCAGTTAAGATAAGAGCTGCCGCGAAAAAGATTTATGCAAATGCGCTTGAAGTTCCCATTGACAACATTTATTTTCATTCAGTTGAAAATGTTGAAAAATGGAAATATGTACACCAAAGAATATTGACTTTAGAGAGCTTTCTAAGGATGCTCTTAAATGCAAGGAGGTGGATCTTATTAAGGATCCTAGTTTGATGAAGAGTGTTGCTAGTTTTGGCAACTTTTATGAGATGGTGGTGAAGGAATTCATTGTAAACATTTATCTGATGTTGCATGTAAGAGGGAATCTCTTGTTTGCAGGAACACATGTCCTAGACATTGTTATGACATCCTGGATTTTTGTGGGCTATGCCCTGGATATTTATGCACCTTGGGTGCTTATGGTCTATAATTTTTAAGCCCAGTATGATCTGCTATAGTTGGCGTGTTATTTTTCTGGCCTAATGAATTCATGGTGGATTGGCCAAAATTATGGCTAAAAAGGGGAGTACTTTATTTGAGTACTTTACTTGCTCCAAATCTTGTGTTTATGAGGAGCATGATGTTTTGATGTTGACATGATTGGAGATATTTATGTGCTTGATGTATGGTTGCTTGTGAAGTCATACCTAATGTCTTGACATCCTTACTATGAATTATGAGAATTTATTTCTCTCTGTTGTTGTGCTCTCTGAGGCTGAGATTTATCCCTCTTTGCCGTGTATGCCTATGATGTGAACTGGTGTAGTTCCAATTTATTTTGTGCATTGTTTTTGAATATGTTATTATGAGGTAATGCTGAAGCTTTATCCCTCATGTTCTTGGATGTTTGTGCTATAGTTGGGTATTTGCAAGATGTTTTATGCAAAGGTTGTTTTAGCCAGAATTTGCCAAAGGGGGAGATTGTTAGGTTTTGTTTTATTGGTTGCATTTTGTTAAAACAAGTATTTCAGCAAGATGTTTGACAATATTTCCTGACATGTTGGTATTCCATTGTAGTCTGACTTGGTTCCATATTTAGAAGATTTATTTCAGATTCTCAAAAGTTTTGATTTTCGTATTCTGCGGTTCAAGATACGTATATGAAGATTTGATTTCCTAAAGATTTATTTCAGCATGAGATGTTTGAAGATTTGTTTCTCAAGATTTGATGTTAGGACATTTAAGGAAATATTATATTTTTGCACCAAAATATTATGTAGAATATTATGCAGAAGATTGTGTTGCAGATGTCGAAACATTTAAGTAAACATTAGATTTTGTTCTAAAATATTGTTCCTTGCTGTTGTATCCAAGATTGGATGTCAAAAAATTTAGGGAAACATTATATTATTTTCTTGATTTTTTGCAGAATA